ACTAACTTAACTTAAATTAACTTAACGTTAACTTAACTTACGTTAGTTTACGTTTACGTTTAGTTTAGTTTATTTAGTTTATTTAGTTTATTAGTTATTATTTATTATATTTTTATTAGGTGCACCTTGATTAATAAAATGCACATTTAGAGTTTCATGTAATTTGGATTCGTAGAAAAAATATTAAAATTATATTACGAAATGAGGTCGTGACCATCAGATCATATTCAATCTGGGTTTTGGGCTTATACTGTAGCTATCGGCTGGTGGGCTACCCTTAAATTCTCCCTATTTTGTAAGAAGATAAAATACGGATTTATATCAATTTCACTAAAAAAGTAATTTTTTTTAACAACTTTTAAAAAAACTCAGAGTTCTTAACTGATTTCAAAAAATTGGATGATATTTTGACAAAATCGTGTTTTAAACATAGACTTGCTAACCATGGTACTAAGAGTTCTAAGATGGTATGGGTCATAGCTTGGTTCCTCTTAAAACCACCCTTATTTTTTTTCCTTTTTTTAATCTTATATAATATTTTGAGTCATTTTTAAGGGAAAATATAGAATGAGACAATTTGCCTTTGATACAATGTGGTCACACTAATCTTGACTATTGGATGTGAAATTGGGTGGCTACAATTATTCCATTGACCAAGCTCAAATTTAAAAAAAAAAAAATTTGAATTTTGTGACGCGTCCAAGTTATCAAATTTCACATGGGATGGTTGTAAGTGTGACCACCTTGTATCAAAGGTAAGTGGTCACATGGTATACAATCCTATTTTTTAAATCCCCATCCCATAAACTCCTATCTTAATTTTAAATTTTTTTAATAATTTTTAATATTTTTTCTATCACCTATTTTGATCATCCATACCCGATCTGGATCACCGATATACGGTCCGACCCATATGTGGATAATTATCCATCCCACCCTTCAAAGTTTTGAAACACTGAAATAAACAAAATCATCACACTTTCACTTTATCTCGAAGTGCATGAACCGAGCCACCAGCTCGGTCCTCAGTACAGTTATTGTTATCGGGATATTTGTTGGCAACCTTTTTGTATCATAATATCCTCTAGTGATTAAATTTATCGATAATTTATGGGGAATTTAAAATATCAAAAAATGTTTACCATAATATTTATTAAATATAATTGAATATTAACTTGAAAAAAAATATCGTTTTCTTGAATGGTTAGCCCTTCTATATCTCATGCAGTAATCATGTATCTAATCCTCTTACTTCATGTTTACCATGATAAAAGAAACAAAACCATAGTTTTGGGGACATTTGGCAACTTAAACCAAACCCCACCTTGTAGGAAAGATTAATTAGCATGATTTTATCAAAAAATAATAATTATGAATATAATTTCATTATATCGGAATAATATCGTAGTTAATAACCTTCCTAATTTACCACAAAAATGTTCCAATAATTTGATGTTATAACGATAATCGTCACCTGACTTGGACCCCATAGTGGGGGACTCTCTCTCTCTAGCACCAATTGCGCTCTCTCTCTCTCTCCCTCTACAAATTCATGAATTGGTCCCTCAAAATGCCATTTGCGGCCACTCATTGGCTACAACTAAAATTAATATGTTTTCAGCTTTTATTCGGACCGTTATGATTCTTGGTACTTTCCATTGTCTTGTATGACATTTTTCCTAATTTTTTTAATTTTGAAAAATATTGGAGACACTTTGATGTATAATAATGGGTTTTAAGTTAGGGTGAGGCCTCCATGTACTGTAGAAGTAAGGCGCACCCATAAGTTTTGCGTGGAGGTGTAGTTTTAATGTTAGAAACCTAGTGATGACTTAGAAATTCAATTTTCCTCTCTACTCTTGAAATTAAT